GAAAAAAAGGTGACATTCATTTTTTTTTTCTTTTTTAAAACTGTGCAGAAGTTGTGTATTTTAAACAAGATTGAATATATAGAGAGAGAGAGAGAGAGAGAGAGAGAGAGAGAGAGAGATTTATGTGAAATCTGTGCTGTGACATTAAGTAGGCCGGGATACTGTGACCCCCAAGAATGAAATCGCTCCTCTCACCAACAGTCAAAACACAAGCAAGTTTAGAAATCGTACTCTCCCCGATTCTCGTGGACTTTGCGCGATCACTTTGCTGCTGAGTTCACTTATTAGACTTTGCGAAGTGTTTTTAAAAAGGTATGTCTGGGCAAGAAAATGATGCAGTACATCTCTGCAATACGAGTATACAGAAAAATACCTGATTTGCTAGAAATCCAGTATGCCTCTAACTTCCTGTTTGAGCTGACAAACCCATGCTTCTGCTGCACTGAAATCTCAGACAGCGTGGTCAGGGCTGCCCTCCGCCTATCTCCGCCCCTCATGCAATGATTTGTTTCCTAGCAAAACAATGCTGCTGCCTTGACTCTCAAGAGCCTGACCACGCACACTGTGTGAAGGTCAAAGGGCTCTTGGGAGAAGTAGTTCTGAAAGGGATGTGCCTATGTCTGGAGTAGGTAAACACTGGCCTAGGGGTGTCACCAGGAGTGTGTGTCATTCACGTGTCGTCATGTGTACTTCACTGCTGGAGGGGAATCTAGGTGATGGACTTGGGCAAAGGACGAATTGTTCATTCGGTGGGATAAGGTATGCTGCCGGGTTCCCTTCTCGTGCAGCTATTGGGACTCTCTATCCATGACAGTGCCCAATTTTTCAGAGGAGGCAACGCCAAAATGACTCAGTAGGTGGGTAGGCTCCACCCACTTCAGAGAGCTACACGAAGGGGTGGAGATAAGACTAGCTACCCTGCACAAGGTGCAGTGACCATTCTTTATTACAGGAGGGGGTGGAAACAAGACCAGTCACCCTGCACAAGGAGAGAGAGCAGCACTGACCGGTCTTTATTACAGAAAGCTGCAAGTCTCACACTGGATTACTGCACAGATCTGGAAGGAATACACAAAGCTCACCAAGATCCCAGGAAGCATACACATGACTCTTGTATGAGGACAATATTTGCTTACATTGGGGTTCCGCTTTAAGCGAATAAGTAGTACCACCCATGAACATATATGCAAATGCCCAAATAACTACATATTATGGCTATGCAGAATTTCATATTTGCCAAGATATTCAGTAGTTCTGTTCTATAACATTGATCATTTTAGAGAGAATATTAGCCGACTTTCGTTTACATCAAGGGGATCACTGGACAGGGGTCAGCAGCAACTTGGGGAAAGCAGTCAAATTTTGGACTACGATTAGCTTTACGCACATAATTATTAGGTGATCGGCCTCCACAATTAAGCTCCAAGAGGGGGCGAAACATGTCACAGGTGAAGAACTTTTCTTTCTTCTGCCACTTACAGAAAAAACAAGCTGCCTTAAAGGCATGATTGGCTGTAGTGTGCGGCCTCACATTACTAGGTACTCTCATCAAGCAAGCATAGCCACGTGATGCTTAAACTACTCCCCCCCTACATATCAGTATGCTGCTCCGTATGCCGATATTACATTTTCTTACATTCATTAGTTAAATAAAAATTTTCTTATGAGATCTCGGGGAAAGCAATTTGTGCATGGTCACATGTCCTACTCACATGTAGCAGAGTTCCAAGAAGTAACAGGAGATGGATCAATCTGCCCTTATTAAAAATGGCCACCGTGAAGAATGTGGAGGAAAAGAAATATAAGCTATGCAAAGAATAAATAGCCAGCAATTGTCTATAAGTATCTGTTTGTAGATTGCCAATACTAAACATTCATAAAGATGTCACTGTTTGCAGCTATATTATTTTAACAGTCAGCCCCATCAGCTGTCAAAGTACCTCAACAGTGCCTGCATGCAATTGGATGTAGACACTGTCATGCCAACAATTTTCCACCTGGCTCCTTTTTCTTCAATTGAAGCATGTTGGATGAGAGCCGGCAGACAGGGCCACCCACTGAGCAAATTTCTTCCAGTTTAGCATGAACTGGACGGAATTCACTCACAGCATTGCCAACTTTAGGATGCAATGTACCCATGGGCCCCAGGCAGCATGTCTCATCATTCAAAGTAGTGATGCACCGATACCGGTATTTCAGTATCAAGTACGAGTACCGAAAGTACCATTCAGGAAGCCAGGCGGCGTGTAATGACTCGCCACCTGGCTTTCCCGATTGGTCAGGAAGCTGGCTTTCTGGCCAATCAGGAAGCCAGGCGCCATGCAATGACGTGGCACCCGTCTTCCTGATTGGCCGGGAAGCCAGCTCCATGCTCCCTTGTCATGAGTGACGAGGGAGCATGGAGCCGGCTTTCCGACCAATTAGGAAGACGGGCAGCGTGTAATGACGCGGCGCCCGGCTTCCTGATACCGGAACTATTGGGCTAGGCATGGAAGCATTTGGCCGAGTACGCACCCAAATAAGCGGTATTGGCACCGATACTAGTACCGGTATCGGTGCATCACTAATTCAAAGGTTGAGAAAATGCAAAATAAAACATTTGACCATTAACAAGCAGTAAAGGTCTTCACCATACCAAAAAAAAAAACCACCATGATGGAATTTCATTTATGTGAAAATCAATTTATTATAATTGTGACCAAAAAGAAAAAAAGGAATGCCTCTAACAGTGAATCTTAACCTTGCCTTGCAATTCCTGCAGAATAAAACACGTACCATTCAAGAATTATGCAAAAAGGGGTAAAGGGGGGAAAAGCCATTAACAGGTCGTATAAATAGGTTTAAGTTAAAAAGAGTTCTTAAATTGGTATCCCAAGTCCCAAAGCATTGTGGGTGTCCGCTTTATAATAAACAGCACTCCAAGCAGAAAAAGTTTGCCTGCTGTGTAAACTGTGCAGCTGTCAATACCCGACCTATCAAATCACTGGAAATGAATCCCATTCTCTAGGCATTTCTAGTGAGCAGATTGGTTTTACTTTGTGAACATAGCCCACAAAATGGCGGTTTATAGTCTTCCAGAGACAGGTACTCTTGAGGAGCTCCTATTTTTACCTGGCAAGCAGGAGACCATTCACCTGAGCTGGAAGTGGCCATGGTCCAACCCCATAACAGTCCCAGGGCAGACTTGTCACTTCAGGAGTGTGCATACTGCAGCTGGAGTGTCTGAGAAATTCCATTGGAATTAGCCTAGGTTTGGCCAGATGAAAAGGGATCAAGAGAGTCCTTCCCAATCTGCTGCTGGGCAAAACAAAAAGTGGAAACTAAACATTTGTCTCACCAATGGAGGCCATACGCCCACCAACTACTACAAAAGAAAAGTATGTTGAGTGTACCAATAGGTCCTCTCATAACATACATTGCTCTCGACTTGCAAGCTCATGCAGGATTGAAAATTCGTGGTGAATATTTCGGGACACAGAGATCCCTAAAACGTCATCTTAGGACGGTTATAAGAACAATACTTTGCAGCGGTTTAAAAAAAAAAAGTGTTGGTTAAAGGTATACTGTGAAAAAGGATCAGCTGTACCAAAATCACCACTTAAAACCTCAGCAGAGGACTTTTATTTCATTTTCTAGACAAAAATGCTTTTCATTTTAAAAGGATAGGTGCACTTTAAAAAAACAAATGGGCATTATTCCCCTTTGCCCCTACCCCTGATCAAACCTAACCTAACCCCTCCACTCCAGAGGTTCATACTTAAAATGACACCAAACTCAGGAATTAAATCTTAAAAATAAATTTCAAGTATCTTAACTATCAACAATGTATCTTCTTTGTGTGTCACTCGGCTGTAGATCCTCCAATCATCTCTGAATTGGTGCTGACACTGTCCTTCCTTCTGGAGGGTGACTACTATTGTTCCCCATGGTCCCTGGTGTGTGTTGTAAAGTAGTCACCGCTCCAAGCTCGCTCCTGTGATGGACTACAATCTCATGTTTGTATTGTAGTCCATCCGGGAGCGAGCTTGGAGCACTGACTACTTTACAACACACACAGGGACCATAGGGAACAAAAAAGTAGCCCCCCTCCAGAAGGAAGGACAGTGTCAGCACCAATTCAGAGATGATTGGAGGATCTACAGCCGAGTGATACACAATTAAGATACATTATTGTTACTAGTTCAGGTACTTGAATGTATTTTTAAGATTTACCTCCTGAGTTTAATGTCACTTTAACTCAATCCGACATCCACAGGTGTGTCATTTGTTCACATCCAGCGCTGGAAGTCTCCGCTGTCCTGGCCACACCTGCACACTGCAGCCCCACAGACCTCTATGGGTCTGTGTCCCACAGGCAAAGACAATTGGAGACCGTACCATAGAAGTCTATGAGGTTGTGATGCGCGGGTACAGCCAGGACAGTGGAGATATGTACCATTGTAAACAGGTGAACCACAGCCGTCATAAGTATATATCTGTGGAGGGGAAGGGTGGGTTAGGTTAGGGGAAGGGGGAAAGAAGAATCATAGATGCCGTTTATTTTAAAGCGCACTTATCCTTTAAGCCATTGCACATTGTTGTCGTAACAGAAGCTACAGTACAATAATTCTAAGAAAGCAAAAAAAAAAAAAAAGTGAAAAAAGTGGCTCATTGGTGACATTTAGAGGAAACAAAACTGGTAAACACTTTAACAAGAGGAGTAAAGAAACTTCATTTTCCTTTCAAAATAGGTTTTAGCCACTTGCAAGCTCTCCAGCTGCGGGGGAACGCCACGTCCCATCATGCACCTGGCCTGGGCACCTTTTGGAGATGCTTCTAGTTTCTCAGCAACCGGCTGTACTCAAGCTGCTTATACTTTCAGCAATGGATGTCAATCCTATCAAGGCATTCCCTAGTTTTCTTTAGGTAAGACACTGTCAAGCAAGTGACACCCGATATGACATTCTGAACCGAAAAAGTAAGCTGACTAGAGTGAAACTAAAAAGGCACATTTTTCTCATTTAAGGTGGTCTAATAAATGGATCTCAGCAGCAAATTAATGGCACAAACTAGACTTCTACCCCCGGCTCTAGTGCTGAATTCTGTTTCCTAAACAAAAAATATTTAAAATAAAAAATAAAAAAGGAAAAAAAAAAATGCCCAAGACAGCAGCGATAACTGTTCCACTGTGTTCTGTCCCTTGTGTGTGGCGAGTTGACAGGAGGCTTGTGTCTGTGTCTTGAACAAAGAAGGCACTAAGGTAACACGGTGCCTATTTTCCTGGATCTCGAAGGTCCATGCTGGAACCAAACAACGACACCAACTGCTCCTCATAATGTGTGATGTTCCTCTTCATAATGTCCATGCAGGGGCCCAGCAATCGTTCAAAGGCTTGCACATCCATAACTAACAACAAAGGAAAAAAGAAAAAACTTAATGGCCATTCGAACAACAGTGAAAACTACAATCTTATAGTACTGCACAGATACATTTATATGGCTTAAAGTATGGGGGTGTAAAGTGACATTAACCACTTGAAGGCCGGGGTGTTAAACCCCCCTTCCTGTCCCGGCCATTTTTCAGTATTCAGCGCTCTTGTACTTTGACTGACATTTATTCCGTCATGCAACGCTGTACTGAAATTAATTTTATACCATTTTTTAGGGACAGATAGAGCTTTCTTTTGGTGGTATTTAATCACCACTGCGGTTTTTATTTTTTACTATATTAAGGAAAAATTACCGAAATAAATAAAATAAAAATAACTGTTTCCCCTATATTAAATGATAAAACATTTATTACCCAATTTTTTGGTAAAATATAAAAGACGGGGTCATGTCGGGTAAGACACCAAACATGTCAAGCCTTAAAATTGCGTGCGCGAAACCTCAAAAAACTATAATACCCAAAATTGGCCATAGGCGACGCTTTTTAAAGCTTTTACCGCTCATCAGTTTAGTGTTATCAGTGATTGATGGCCCTAAAATGATTGCTCTCACTGCGGCATTTGCGGCGATATTTAACGTGTGTAGCGCAATTGTTGTTTTCGCACACTGGTGCACCGGACACGCATTCACTTTTATATGTGCGTAAACGTGGGGGTGGGGGACTTAAACATTTTGGTGTTTTTTTTACTTTTTTTATATGCGACTTATTCTTTTTTATTTATATATCATTTTTTTCACTTTTTCACACTTATTGTTATTGCTATTATATAGGGGGATAACAATCCCCCTATAGGGGCGCACGAGCAGAAAAAAAAATGCTGTCTGGAGACGGCAACCCGCTAATGCAGCAGTGCCGTCCGGTTTTTTTTTCAACAGGCGGACAGCAACTGGTTAAAGGATTATTTTTTTTTCCCTCCCCCCAATGTTAGGGTAAGGACTTACCTCAAATGATCTAGAAAGGATTGTCACCAGCACACCAAAGGTTTTGAAGCAAAAAGTCCTTTGACAAATCGCCATCCAATAGAAGCGCTTTCGGGGTCTCAGCAGTATCCCTTCATCAGGCTCAGAATACCTTAAATGATGTCTCTTAAATCTGATCATCTTCCTTACTGTCATTTTTAGCTGTCCCTCCCGCACTGGTGCGGGTCTCTGATCCAGCGCCGACTCCTCTGTCCTCTTCTGTGATGTCCCACGAAGTCTGTGTGGGTGCATGCTGCTCCACAGACTCACCTTGTGTCTCTCCTCGTCTCCTGGCCGAACATCTGGACTGCGCCCGCCCCAAGATCCCTTGTGGCCCATGAGAAATGTTCAGATGTTCGGACGGGAGCGCGTGGCGAAGACACTGGTAAGTTTAAACCCGTTTTTTGCATATATCTACTGCTTGCTAGCCATATATATATATGCAAAAATGTGAGGGTTTAATAACCCTTTAAGTCAGGGGTGTCAAACTCAATTTAATAGTGGGCTGCATCAACATTACGGTTGCCCTCAAAGGGCCGGTTGTATCTGTAAGACTATATAAATGTATCTACTCTATCATAATTGCATCTGCATTCGATCATCACTGGCTTTAAAGCTACAGGAGAGGTGCGAGGGCCACATGAAATGGCCTGGTGGGCCGGATTTGGCCCCTGGGCCTTGAGTTTGACACATGTGCTTTAAGTGAAGGGCATATATGTGTACGGTTGGGTCCTGATGTTGCAAGAGAAGACCTTGCAATGGGCATTGTAAGTAATTCCAAAGGTGTTCAGTAAGGTTGAGCTCAGGGCTCTGTGCAGGACACTCAAGTTCCTCCACACCAAACCATGTCTTTAAAGAAGCTGGCTTTGTGCACAGGGGAACAGTCACCCTGGAACAGAAGAGCCTTCACCAAACTCTTACCACAAGGCTGGAAGCAACCAAGTATCTAAAGACAAGACCTATGTGGCAAGACCTCACAAAAGGTGACCAGCTAAGAAGCTGATGCTCTGGTTGCTTGTGCCTCCTGTGATACAATCTCAAAGTCAGATAGTCACAGGAACACCTTACTATGGGAAGATTAAATTGCAGCTACCAGAGGAAAATTGCCAGAAGCAGATTTAATAAAGGAGACGTTCATTAAATTGACCCAGTCAGGGCTGGAAAAATCCTTAAAGGTGGTGCCCTGCAATAGAAGAGGTATTCGACTCACCACTTCTGATGCCTGAAGATTTTGGGTGCAGTAAAGAAAAACTGCTGGCTGATAAATCTTCATAAACTAACCCTTCCGAGGATGCCCATTTCCTGGTCCCCACTATGCTCAGCGGTTCAATTTTGCAGCCCCCACGTCACTACTGTGTCCTGTTATGACTTTCAAGCCACTGTGATGAACCACAACACACAGCGGGGAGGGTGCAAGATAACTAGATTTTCGAACTGTTACTGTCTGAAGATACTTAAGACAGATTTTTCTTTATTGCAGCAGCATTCAGCCAGCAGAAGTATCCAAGTTCTTCTTTTTATTTTTTATTACACGTATTTATAGAGCGCCGACAATTTACGCAGCACTTTACATAGTGGCACAATCACATCAGTCCCTGCCCTCAAGGAGCTTACAATCCAAGGTCCTCATCTCACACACATGTATGAAGGCCAATTTAGACAGGAGCCAATTAACCTACCGAGGGTGGGAGGAAACTGGAGTCCTCGGAGGAGACCCACACAAGCACAGGGAGAACATGCAGACGCCTTGCAGATAGTGATCTGGCCGGGATTCAAACTAGGACCCTAGGAGCTGCAAGGCAGAAGCGCTAACCAATACACCACTTTGCTGCCCATTGCAGGGGCAGCTTTATTTTAGAGCATTTTTTGTTTTGTTTTAGCGACCAAGTTGCTTTCAGCATCCAATCCACTAACATTTGTCAACAAATTCAAATTCAGCTGTTGAGATGAAAGATTATTACCTAAACACTTGACATTGTCCACCGCGTATGCAGAAGCTGCCCTGGGCTTGTTGGTAACAAGAGCGAGTTCACCAAAGTATTGACCTCTCTTACACCGTGTCAGCTCCACTTCCTGGTTACCTTCTTGACCAGTTTTTGTCTGCAGCAGAAGAGAAATAAATCATTAAAATATGAAGTTTAATCTCCATATTTTTGCATTCCCTGGTTTCTTCCTTCTCCCTCATCAACATGTTAAATTTTAATGGACACCTGTAATCATTACATACTTTCTTCTGGACCACAGTGATGCATCACTGGGTCTCTGTGCTTCTCTAGGTTTGACTGGTGGGGGGCCGGCAGGGGGTTCTACATAGCACTCCACTGATGGGGCCTCAGCCTTGATGCCAGCAGTGGGCTGGCACTTGGGAGGAGTTTTGCAAAACACCTTGAGGGAGGGGGATGTCAGTATGGAGAAGGAGCATTCCTAGGCAGACTGCACTTGCATGCAGACCACCAAAGACAACACCCACATGCGATGCTGAGCCTCCATGATTGAAAGAACTGAAATCCAATGAATGAAAGGGACAGGCCAGCGACAGTCAGCTTTGGCAGTAAAGGACGAGACGATTGGGCCACATAGCCATAACTGGCCCACATAGTAATAAGTTTAGGGGAATAGGAAGAGCGGGCCTGCCCTAGTAGAAGGGTTCTGAAGTATTCCGTAGCTCAAATGGGATCCAGGGTTGTTCCATATACAAGACAGAATAATGGACGTTAAAAAGAGAACTATGGGGTAAGTGTTTTTCCCCATAGTTCTCTTAAAGGTCACAGGAGGACATATACTAGCGTCCTCCTGTGACCCAAAGCTCAGTATATCACGAGCTGCAGCTGTCTGTCGAGATCCTCCCAGCTGTGTGACAGCTGGCTCTGCCTATCTAGAGTCAGAGCCAGCTGTACCCGCCCCCTCCCCGGTCCATTCCTCCAGTCAGCGCTGGAGTATCAGAGAGGGGAGGGGGCGGAATCCATGCAGGGAGCTGTGACTGACATTCACGGCTCTCTGCAGGGAGATGATCGAGGAGTGAGCGAGCGACGGTGCGCATTCGCTCACTTCCCGATCTATTGAGCCGACCTGTGACAGTTTCATTGTCACACGTCGGCTCGAACTAGGAGGTTGGGTGATTTTTCACTCACCTCATAGTTCTCCTTTAACTTCTTAAAAATTGCTTGGGGAAGGACTAATGGACTATGTACTAAATTTTTGGGCATGAGCTGCAATGCGGGCAACTGTTACATTCACATTCTTGCTATGGGCATTGTTTCCTATGCAGCACTGGTTTTATGCACTTAAAAAGTAGAAGAAAAAAGGCACACGGCATAGTTCAGGAAGGGGAATGTGGAGGGAATGATGTAAAACTGAAGAAATGCTGCAAAAACCCTACAGGGACTTTTCGGAGTTCTCCACATCTGGAAAGCGCTTACCTTGCTTTTCATCATAATTTTCACCTCTCCTGATTCAACGATGTAAAAACAGTCTGCCTTATCGCCCTGGAGGAGTGACAGAAATGCAGCTTTAATAAAAACGCATCTGTTTACCCTTGTGTCTATTAGCAGTGAATGTGAAGTGAATCCTGTCTTACCTGTCCAATGATGCGGTCTCCATCCTTATAAATTCTTTCACCTAATACATCAACTAATTTCATACGTTCAGAAACCTATCATAGAAAGAAAAAAAAAAAAAAAAAAAAAACAGTTAACGGTCAACATTTACCATAAAATACACAATAATTGATCTATGACTTGATAGACCTAAGATGGTGTGAAACATTTCCTGTGTGCTCGGCTTCTCTTTTACACTTGTAGTAAAACTTCAGCCCTCCAGCTGTGGTGAAACTACAACTCCCATCATGTATCTGCCTCTGGGAGTCGCGTCTGTCAGTCGTGCAATGCCTAATAGGATTTGTAGTTTCACTACATTTGGAGGGTCGAAGTTTGGCTATTCCTACTTTACATGCTACTGTATGTAACGGTAGCATGTAACTCAGGACTGAGCAGCATGTACAGGTCATTATGCAAGTTCCATTCGGTTCTAGAAGAATGCCTGCCACCAAAGACCAGAGTAAGCCACTGAGACACCTCCAGACTGGCTAGAAGACTGCAGAAAAGAAAAAAAAAGCATGTAGAGGGTCTCTTTTTTTTTTTTTTAAACTGCTGGGGGTGCTTCATGGAGTGCGGGCAGACTGAAATGCTGGACCTCTACTTTCAGCTGAGACTTTTCTCAACAGCAGTTTGTACTCGACTCCTTCCACAGTGCCAGTCAGCAGCGAGTGTAAGCTTTAGGCCTCATTTCACACTGCCCGGCATATACGCGCGTATATGGGTGTGTATATAGTACCATATGCAAATAAATGGCTCCATACACAAAGCTGCGTATGGAGCCATATATTTGCGTAGCGTAAAAAGGCGCAAAAACAGAATGGAACCGAGATGCGTCCGGGCAGCATATTTACGCACGTATGCACGTACAGTTCATTAACATTTCTATTATGAATGATGCATTGTGGGATTGCAAATAGTGCACGCATATACAATTTTGCTCTTGCGTTGTGTGTGAATGAGGCCTTACTGGTCGGGGAACTATAGGTCTGGCTTAGCAAGGGGCAGGTTGGACTGCTGCAGAGAGACCACTGCTGACACAGAGCAACCTGTGGCAAATGGGCATTTCTGCTGTGGCCGCTTTACAAACTTTGACCACCTATTATTCTCAGGCAAAGTGAATGGATTGAGCCGATTCAACATGAAAAGTACAATTTGACTTGAAATACATCTTGCATGTCCAAGCAGTTGAGAGCCTTACCTCTAATGACTTCAGAACAGGAACACATTCTACAAAGGCTTCAAACATCTTTCTTTTTTTGGCATTGTTTTTCAGAATTATTCTTCTGAAGGTAACCCGATCCTGAAAAATAGCAAAATCATTCATTTGGAAGAATTCAACTGTTTGTGAACATATTACAAAAAAAAGCCCATTTTAATACAGAATAGTATTTGACACTAAGCACGTTTATTTTTTTATTTGTAAGTGTGTATATGTATATACATACACTTTTTATTATAGGACAAACCAGGCCATCTTCTGGCAATATTGGAAGCTGAGGGAAATCTCGCCAAATGGGACACAGAACATAAAAAGAAAAAAAAAAAAAAAAGCTTCCTTTATCCAAAACGATACAAGTTATGGTTTCCGTTCTACTTAAAAAGTAACAAAATGCAAATTCCAGGCCAACAGCTAGGTGGTGCTGCTGTACCATAAAGTACTAATGACTACCAATACTAGACCGGCCTCACAACATTGGACTCTGCGTCGGTTAGAACTACAATCGAAACTCATACGGTGACAGAGCATGCTATAAAATTTTAAATTCAAGTTCAGCCACAAAAAAAGTTACATTTGTTAAGTTGGTAACGGGTTTGAGGAAATATAAATATCACTGATACTGAGACCGCCGCAGCTGGGATCGATCCCGACATTACTGTGGAAATCCACTCAGCTGCGTGATTGACAGTTGGCTCTGCCTATCTAGAGGCAGAGCCAGCTGTACCCACCCCCTCCCCCGTTCGTTGCTCCAGTCAGCGCTGGAGGATCGGAGCGGGGAATCCCTGCAGTGAGCCGTGAGCGACAGTCACAGCTCTCTGCAAGGACAGGATCGAGATGTGAGCGACCGACGGTATGTATTCGCTCAATTCCCGATCTATTGAGCCGCCGTGCAACAGTTTCATTGTCACAGGTCGGCTCGAACTATGAGGTTAAGTGATTTTTCACTCACCTCACAGTTCTCCTTTAAGAGTAAGGTGTAATGTGTTTTTCCGATATGTGGCGTTTTCTATATTCCTATACTCCGAGTTTCAACCGAAATTCAGAAAAAATGTAATTGTAGTGTGTCAATCCTCATGAGTTCAGCGTCACCTGTTAAAATTGTTGTTAATAAAATAGTAATAAAATAATGAAATATAGTAAAATGAAATAAAATGAAACCATGATGAAAAATAATACATTTAATGACAAAATTAAAAATAAAAGCAGTAGGATGGGGCAATAAAGCCAACAAAACTCAGACACATTGCAATGAACACGCTGGAGTAACACGAGAAACCACCGAGACAAATGAGGGTTTTAGCTTATGTTAGAGAAGCAGAACTCAATGCAAACAGGAAATTGGTTACAATCCGCACTGGAATATAAGGAAACATAATCAGGAAGTGAACTATTGTTTATTTGCTAATCCCTTACATTCATCTTCTGTACAGGACAGAACCAATTATTAAACAGGAAGTTATCCCGTCACTGGCACGATGATGAAAGCAGCTTTGTATATAAAACGTATCGCACACACCACTCTGTAAAGGAGGCCATTGGACAGAACTTTCTCTTAACCCATTCACTCCTGGCTGACTTGTTTGCTGCGGTAGCTCCTCATCCATGGATCTGGAAGTCTGACATTGCACAGCTGTGAATCCTGCACATACCCTGCCTCCTCTTTACTCTTCAGACTACTAGAAGATACAAACCCAAACTGATCTTCCTTCCACCTAAGTAGCTTTACCTCAGGGGTAGGCAACCTCAGCCCTCCAGCTACGGTGAAACTACAAATTCCATGAGTCACTGCAAGACCGACAGCCACAGACATGACTCACAGAGGCATGATAGGAGTTGGAGTTTTTCCACAGCTGGAGTGCAGAGGTAGCCTACCCCTGCTCTGACAATTCCACATTAAGAGATTTCTGGTAAGTACCTGCCGGCCGGCGTAATAAACGGCCGCCCGGGAGCTCTCTAGATCTGAGCGGGCGTCTTTAGACGTGTTAGGTGAATGATAGGGTCCCTTTAAGACATTTCAAAGCAAACTAAAAGGACTTTTTAATATTTTGCCCAGAGAATACTTCAAAGCTGGTTTGGATGGCGTATTGCATTAAAAAACATCCTTCAGCGCTTTAACTGCATTATGTACAATTTGCGATCATTAATCTACTTACCAGCCCCCAAAGTGCGCCTTCTGTTGTGGCCGCGATGGTCGCAGCCCTTGGAGTGTTGTACATCAAGGCCAGTTCGCCAAAACTGCCGTGATTATCGTATGCGCCCACGCAGCGGGACTGTCCGTCTCGAGCTACGAAAATGTCATACAGCCCTCTGAAAGAAAATTAAAAACAGGCGGCTGTTTACTGGTGACATTTGAAAAATATATGTGCACGTGAATGCTGAGACACATAAGCACAACAGGTTCTTTCATTATGAAAGAACCCCCCCCAAGAAATACTTGTTCTGGCTGCTAGACCAGAAGTACCACACAGAGATACGACTCAAATCAAACGTTTAATTTCCTAAGATGGTTACAAGGGAAATGAAATGACATTTTGCTCTAACATTGCTATACATGGCAGTCAGAAGGTGGGGGCTCAGTATGTATTCTTAAAGGGGAACTTCACCCTCATCTTTAAAATGACAACACCTTTATAAATGATTATGAACGGCAATATACAGATACTTCTAGATGATTGTTGGCTTTTTATTCCTTGCATTCCTTATTTCTCTTTTCCTCTCACAGTTGACTAAGGGCAGATTCATCCATCTCCCTTTACTTCCTGGAATTCTGGCACATGTGACCATGTACATCATCTTAGGGGAGGAAAATGTCTTTCCCTGAGATCTCGTGAGATTACAGATGAGATTTCCCAGCAATGCTCTGCTGATGTAACCTTCCCAGGATGCAATGTTTGGGCACAGACTGCATCACTAATGCCCAAGAGGACCAGGAAGTGGAAAGCAATAAGTGTAAGAAAAATATGTTTGTTTAACTCCTAAATGTAAGATGTAGGGCTGCAACTATTTTCATAATCGATTAGTTGGCCAATTATTGTTTTTTGATTAAGCGAAAAAATAAATACCATCCTTAAAATAAAATACAAATGCCGTGTTACAAAGTTTACTTCAGAATAAAACTGCATGCACAATTTTTTGCAATCGCACGGTATTGCGGTACCTTGAGTTTCAGTGCTGGCGATCACACTGTGGGTGGGAGGCGTGTTTGGGGTGCACACTGAAATGAATGGCACTGCAACACACCTCCCGCGGCAGGTAGTGAGTAGCCAGCCTGCTATTGGCCATTTAAAACTGCAATAGCGGGCTGGCTTGGGGGAGAGAGCTAGGGAATCCAACCAACTAATCGATGATGAAAATAGTTGACAACTAATATTATTGATTAGTTGTCACAGTTGGCTGGAGTTAAGCTTTGAAGCTGAGACACCGAGGGTAGTCCCAAGTGGGGTCTGCCAGTATTTGTCAGGCTGAAACTGAAAAGGACTTTCACACCTTTCATAACTTTTTTTAATAAATAAATTGTATTGTAAGCACACGGCGCTTAAATAGCTTCAGCCCGGGAATGACTGCTGCCAGTGGTAAGATTCCGCAGACGGCAGCTGAAAGTAAATACAGCAGGTAGTGAATAGCCAGCCTGCTATTGGCCATTTCAAACTGCAATTGGCTATTGCACCCGCCCACTGCATGCTGTGCCCTCCTCCCAGTGTGGAGGAGAGAACTAGGGGATCCAACCAACTAATCGTTGATGAAAATAGTTGACAATATTATTGATTAGTTGGTTGCAGCCCTAGTAGTGGTGCTGCATGCTGATGTGACTGAAAGGGGTAAAGGTCCGCTTTAAGACACACCAACTGATCTCCCATTACACATCAGAGAACACTAATGCAAAGACTTAAATACATGGACGCTTACTGGAGCGTCTTTGTTTACAACCCAGAGGAACCATACCAGCAGTGTAACAGGTTAAAAACTCAAACTCTAGCCAAAGCGCTTTGATTGATCAGTTTAGAGCCTCTGTCAAGATTTCTATCACGGTCTGTGTACCCATCGAGAATTCCCCACTTCCTGTTAGAGTGATGGGAAATCCCTCCAAAGGAGACACAAAATGTTTAGTGAATAGGGAAGGGTCAGAACTTCGGATCCTTCCGGACTCATTGATGACCGCTCCCTTCACTTCCTGTCCTGTTGTCACAGTTGGCTGGAGTTAAGCTTTGAAGCAGAGACACTGAGGGTACTCCCAAGTGGGGTCTGTCAGCATTCCAAAAGGCACCGACTGATTAGCCAGCACAGAAGACCTAAAGCTGATCTTCAAGCAGATATAAAACACAAATGAATGCACCTCTGTAAATCAGTAACACATCAGTAAATGTATGTTTCTAAATGCAAACACTAAAAGTATCTGAAGATTCCTGGTATCAGCCTATTGCATTCCCTGTAATACACAGCAGGGCTGGAGTGTGAGGGGAAGTAATAGTAAAAAGCAGCCAGTTAATTTACAGACAAAGCATGCTGATAGGAAGAGAAAGCAGTGACAGATAAGCTCATCACAGTGCTACTTCTCCTTTCACTGTCCAGTCACAGGCTGGGGGTGGGTCCAGGATGAGTTGTGCTCAGAGGATGTGGGCTGAATGATGCTGGCCATGAGACTGAGGACATCTAACAGCAGGTAAACACTGCAGGGGAATCTGGATTGAAGCTGAATTTTGCAGCAAAAACTGGTTTTCGTTATTTTATCTCAACACTGGAAAAACAAAAAATGGCCAGCACAGCCCTAACGCATCTATTGTGAATTCACCCTTAGGCTGGGTTCACACCTAGGTGTAGATTACAGAATGTACCTCCTGCAGAGCTTTTATTTAACATTTTGTGGAGTTCTTCTTTAAGGCCTCATTCGCACTGCGCTAACTCGGGGCGTGCATGCCCATAAAGGGCCGTTCACGGGAGGGACAGGTGCTGTGCGTAGCAGCCTGTTCTTCCCTATGGGAGGGTGCGGTCGTACGCTGTCATATGCACACACGAACTGCACATGCGTATGGGTCCCGTTGTCTGTACTCGGACGCAGATAGGATGGATCCTGTCTGCGTCCGAGTGCGGACACCCGGACCCGCACGGATGTGCAGTTCGTGTGTGCATATGACAGCGTACAGCGGCGTCCTCCCATAGGGAAGAACAGGCTGCTGCACGCAATCACACGCAGCACCTGTCCTTCCAGGAACCTCCCGATACAAGCATGCACCAACACTGCCTATGGGTATGTCCATTGATTGCACAGTTCATGATACAAACATGTGGAATGTTGTAAAATGCTGTGAAACAACGTATACCTTTTAGTCCTGCTGTATGAAGGGACAGGTTTTAAATCCGCATGCTTTCAGGCATCCGAGCACAAAATTACTTTGTAACATCCACATCTATTTGTTAAATGTAACAAGGCAAAACCAAGCTAGGCAATGGGCCAGATAAACTATTGTTGGATGCGCCTAATAACAGCTTAATTTGAAGCGTTTAAAAAGGTGATTAATGTACCAATTGTTTTGAGGGGGTTTTTTTTACAACGGTTTGCACAAGTCGTCTTACAATCTGCGCCAAATAAATGTTCAGAAAATGAGATGGTCAATATTTGGCACAACAGAGGTGTGCAGTAGTGCAGGGAATTGTGGCATGTACTGTACATATTCTACTATGCTATACACCAGGGCTCAAAATTTCCACTCGCCAGCTTGCATTTGGCGAGTGGAAATAAAGAGAGGGCGAGTGGAAATTCAGTCAGGCACGCGGTCACGGATCGCGTACCTGACTATGAGAGCAGCTGCTCCTTGCTGTGCTGTCCCTGGCTCCGTTACTTTCGATCGATCACCGGAGCTCTGACAGTTCTGAGCCCCGTTCGCAAGGATGGATTAGTACTGCAGAGAACGGAGCTCAGAACTGCAGAGCTCCGGCCGAAAAGTAACGGAGCCAGGGACAGCACAGCAAGGAGCAGCTGCTCTCATAGTCAGGTACGCGATCCCGGTCCGTACCTGACTTAATCACGAGGGATCAGATTCGTGCCTACTCACTGCATAACGGCAAGCAGGTGAGGGGGCTCTTTTATTTGATGTGGGACATGGGTCTCAAACTCAATCTACTCGGGGGCCACTGGACACTTTTTAATCCCTTGGGGCCGCTACTATATACGTTACCAGTGTTAATGTCTGCACATGTTACAAGCGGCAACTGTCACCCATTCAAGTTATTGATCAGGTGACAGCTGCTGCATGTAAACAAATGCACACCGCGTGTAATAATATGTGAAAGGATTACATGCAGTTAGGATCAATCACCATCTCCCCCCCAGCACACATTAAACTTCACCCCCTCCCTCTCAAGCCCCAAGCACACATTAATAAAGTTCTCCCCTCCCTCCTTACCTTCCAAGCCCCCTCACCTGCATGCATCTTTACAGGCAGGAGGCACATCATTCCCTGGTGATCTAGTGGTGATTAGCAAGGTCTAGTGCAGACCTTACTAATCATTCTTCGGTCGGAGCTCAATACAGTCAGAGCTCCGGCCGGAGCTGACAGGAGCAGCTCTGCACCGACAGAGATGCAGACCTCGTAGCTGCTCCTGCAAGTCAGGCACGCGGTCCGTGACCGTGTGCCTGACTTGCCAGCTGGCTGCCGGCCACATAGTACCGGCTCGCGGGCCGGAGTTGGCCCACGGGCCGGTACTTGGAGACCCCTGCTATACAACAGAATAGTTTATATGACAAGCAATAAGCAAAAATTAGATGCAACATAAGACAATTTGCATTCCTCAACACCAGAAATCTTAGTTTATGTGGCATGCTGTGTTCAGAATATTGAGCATTCATTTATCAACAGTCAGGACAAAAAAGGAAAAAAAGCAATGTTATGCTAAATATTTGCTCATCTTGCATACGTCCGGACACATCTACAGACACATAAGAACCTGAAGAAATATCTAAGCTTAAACATAGAGGAGGTAGCCGAGCGCTTCCTGCACATCCCCGCAGCAGAGGGGTGGGTTTCCACAGAGCAGATGATCATTAAATCCCAGCTGCACAAAGCCTTAAAATTACTAGTTTTCCTACTGGAAACACCACAATACAATATAATCAGACACAATCTGCAAGAACGTTTGCTGCAGAGAGTGAACCTCCAGCAAAGCAGCTCAGCGCCATGAATGTCAAAGCTAGTTCCATAGTTAGGCTGAAAAAAAGACACGTCCAGCGAGTTCAACCTATAGAGATTTTAAAAAAAAGAAAAGCCTAAACCGAATGCTATGCCCACAGCTACCCCCTTCATCCAGAGGAAGGCAAAAAAAAACACTATAAAGCATGGCTCAATTTGCTCCAACAGGGGGGGGAAAAAATTCCTTCCTGATCCCAAAAGGCAATCGGATATTCCCGGGATCAACAATCTCTGATGCCTAATATACTTATAATAACTCAATATCCAGTAATAGTCTGTGCATTCAAGAATACATCCAGATGTTTTTTTAAACAATTAACCGAGCTAGCTAGAACTAGCTCCTGGGGGAGTCTATTCCACATTTTCACATCTCTGAATGTGAAGAATCCTTTCCGTATGCAAAGGTTAAACCTCTTTTCCTCCAGATGCAGAGTGCCCTCTTGTCCTTTGCAGTGACCTTAATGTGAATAATTTGGCACCAAACTCTTTATATGGACCATTTATGTATTTATACATAGTGATCATGTCCCCCTTTGATCGTCTCTCCTCCAGAGAGAACAATTTCAGGTCAGCTAATCTTTCCTCATAGCCGAGCTCCCCCATGCCTCCCGCATTTGTTGGGATGAAAACATGCAGTTCTGTTGCACAGACCCAAATGCCACATAAAGGGAGATTTCTGCCAGCCATGTTTAGATAAGATCAGAACAGAACAGAGAGTTCTCTGCAGAAGCACACAAGTTACATCGAGCCCTCAAATTTAATTAGAAAATCATTTCCATGATGGGTAATGATCATAGGGCTTTTCCCGATATCCATCAACCTGCCTATATATAGGGGGGGCTGCAGGAAGCAAACCAGATTTGGCTATGGTATGTAGACATTTGATGTGCAACTGTTCTTTTTAGTGCAGTTAACACTTATTGGGTTGCATTGGCCACCACCCAGCCAGAAACCTCCCTCCCCTGCCTGGCACGTCTTACATTACCCTCATGGCAGCATGGCCTCCTCAGCACCAGCCAGACACGGTTCTGAAATACCAATGGGTTTCATGCATAGACATTGTGGCATGCATGCACAGGAGGAGTTGATCCCAATAGAGATTTTGAGAAGGCTTGTGCACCAAGGACAGTGACGATCTGGGAAAAGAGGACCTATCGGGTTGCTTTGGCCACCGCCCTGTCAGACCTAACCCGAAATCTTCTACTAATCTATCCTGGCTTTATCAAGATCTTGGCTGCACAGTCTCCACGGCACCAGCCAGACAACATTCAAAATCATCAATGGGTTCTATGCATGCACACTGCAATCTTATTCTATGCCCACAGGGAGTGACTGAATAGGAGGAGTCAAAGCAATAATAATAATAATAATAATAATAATACAAAACGTTTAACTGCACTGGTATTCTTTAATAAAATCAAAACCTGGGTTGATAATAGTTCAAACTAGTAAATAGTTCTATCAAAAATGATCTTTTAATGATCTTTTAATAAAGTGAATTATATCTATAACCAGTTGGAGTTCACAACCATTGCAGGATTTCCTTAAGAATCCAGGCAGAAATTTTATCTCTTGCACTGCAAGGGTTAACCGCTTGTTTTTGCCTTTATACTCACCTAGTCCTCACAGCCGACCGGCTCTTAGACTGATCCCTGGAGCGTCTCTCCCCCTCCGTTGCAGCAGTCTAGGAATCCTTGAATCATCACGTCCAATACAGTGTACAGGACGTGAGAACACCGAGGATCATACCATCGCTGCAGTAGGGGAGGAAAGAGGCTGGAGGTAGTGCTGCCGCCGGCTCCGGGGATCGGGTAAATATTTTTTTTACACTAGGCAAAAATGAGCAGAGCAAGGGTTAATAAAAATTTGCCCGGAGATCTTTAACAATTGAACACGATTGATCTACCATACATGGCCACTCTAATAAGCGCCCCAATTTCTGGAAACACCACATTCAGCAAGGCATTTCCAGGTCTTGTGCATGTTTGGGACCCCTATGTCTGTGATCCCATCCAGCTGAGTGACAGTTTTGCAAAAATTTGCTCCATATTGAACACACACATAAGAACTGCTCACAAGGTACTTCTGTTCTTGCAGTGCTACGTCTGTTGATAAGCAGGGAAATTTACATATCAAGCTATGATCTAAGCCAATCTGCATAAAAACAATGTAACACGGTCTCTGCACGGCTTCTCTTTTTGCACCTTATCTGGGGAAAAAAATACATCTCACTCCACATTCATTTAACTGTTTAATAAGCAGCAAAAATAATGGCAGCCATAAAGCAATTTGCTCACATTCTAAAATAAAAAGGCAAAGCAGCGAGAATGTCACAAATGATATTTACCGTTCAACAACATAGAAGTTATCCCCGTCATCGCCCTGGTCAATGACGTGTTCCTGAGGTTGTACTCTCCGTTCAAACATTGCATCAAGAACCTGAGAGAGCTGTTCCTAAAATAAAATAGCAGCAGCAGTGTCAGACTTTGTGAACCATGTTGCATGCATTCATAAACATCATTTCCTCAAGTTGAAATCCAGACTAAATAAATGTATAAGAGCCCCGTGTACTTTTACTTAACGAGTTCTTTGTGCAGTAATCTGTACAGTAATTCAACATGACAACGTGTACTTTGCCACTGTCCAAGAACTTCCAGTAATTCAGACCGGTCATGGCTGCTCTCTTGTGCAGGGTGACTGGTCTCGTCTCCACCCCTCCTTTAGCTTTCTGCAGGCAGCCTGCAGTGAGTGGGGCATGCTGGGTCCCTGCCTGCCTCCAATCATCTCCGAACTGGTGCTGACACGGTCCTTCCTTCTAGAGGGGGGCTACTTTTGTTCCCCATGGTCCTTGTGTGTATGTAAAGTAGTCACCGCTCCTAGCTCGCTCCCGGGATTGACTACAATCTCGCGTTTAGTTTACTAATTTGTAGGGATTCACCACTAGTATGGGTGACAATAACGTGTATTTGGGCGAGTACTCGTCCAAATAGTCCAATACTTACCCCCGATACCAGAACTTCCGGTGAGGGAGATTTCCTCTGATCGGCAGTGCTGCAAGGTAACATGAAGCAGGCTTCCTGGCCAATCAGGACGCTGGGCAGCAGGTAATGACACGTCTTTCGGCTTCCTGATTGGCGGGGAAGGCGGCTCCATTCTGTTTGGCCAGCACAGTGCCGATTGGCTGGGAAGCTGGCTTCCTGGCCAATCAGCATGAAGCCAGCGTCCTGGGCATTTCCTGGAGCACAGGAAGCCGGCTCCATGCTAGCGGAAGTGCAGGTATCGGTAAATGTAAATATCAGTACTCTTACTTGATACTGAAGAACCACTAACGGTGCATCCCTACTAATTTGCATTGAGATTGCAGACCATCACAGGAGCGAGCTTGGAGCGGTGACTACTTTACAACACACACAGGGTCCATGGGGAACACAAGTAGTCACCCTCCAGAAGGAAGGACAGTTTCAGCACCAATTCAGAGATGATTTGAGGATCTACAGCCGAGTGATACACAAATAAGATACATTTGTTGTTAATAGTTCAGGTACCTGAATGTAATTTTTAGATTTAACGTCTGAGTTTAGTGTCACTTTAAAAAACAAACAGTTCACCAGAATAACATACAAAATATAATCACTGATCCAAAGATATCAACATAGCTATAAAAGTACAGCCACTATGTGGACAAAGATCTGGTGGTGGGGAAAGATGTTTCTGCACAGAACCTACTTCCCATAAAGTAATCACATTAAAGGGCACAGCAAGCATTCTTCAATAAGCTTCTTTTAGCCGCTGGCTGAACGTTGATCCTCGTACAACTCCCGACTCAAACCTGTGCTTTGTACATGAAAGGCAACGCAACAGGTCCACTTTAATTCCCCACCCCCCACCCCAACAGAACACTCAACTTTTCTTTGCCTTCCCCACAACCCCATTCATCAGCCAAGAACAGAGAGATAGAGTAACGGAGACTGGGAAGCAGCAATCGGGAGACTCTAACAGAGCAAGGCTTCCTGGTATGGGGAAGTAGGTGGCCTCCCGCACAGGGCACTAGGCATAGGCCCGAGTGGCAGCCGATTTCATGATGCACAGTCACTTTCCTTGATTAAGCAGGTGACCGTGTCCCTTTAATGTAGGTTAATCTAAGTCTCACACCTTTAAAGCTGAAGTTTAATTACCTTTTTTTTTTATTTGCAGCCCAGGAGACACAACTCGCCACCAATGAGGTACTTATGTCCCTTATACTGGTAGCTGCTGCTCATGGCAGAAATCCCCTCGAGTGTCACCAGATACC